CTACGGGGGTCTGTTTTTTCATGAGAGCCAGCTCTTCCCCCCTGTAACAGTTGGAGTTGGATGTACCTCAACCCCCAATCCACCCCGACCGGGCAGGGCTGGCTGGGGAATTCTGGGAGTTGAAGTCCACACATCTCCAAGTTGTCAAGGTTGAGAAATGCTGCTCTACACAAAAGTATTTCCCAGTGAGTTGCAGCCTTGGGGCCAGCTCTCTCTTGCACCCATTCTGCTGCCCTTGATGGGGCTCCAGATAATCTCCCTTCTCTCCTCCCCAGGGTGCTAACTAGCCTCAACCAGCTCAGCCTGCAGCCTGCACTACTATCTCAAGGTTCCCCAAAATCTAAGGGCCAGAACTTGGTGTTCAGACTTTTGAGAAGAACATGTTGTGGGTACTGTCACAACATGCTGCCAGGGTCCCCCATTCAGAAATGGCTGCCACAGGGGACAAGACCAGTTAAAAGCATATGTTCACCAGAATCCCACCTGCCACTCCCTCTAACCTCCTCCTGAAGAACAGTCCTTGCTTACTCTGGTCCATTTTCTGGAGTAGCTGGAATTCTTCCAAACTGAGAGACTCTAGAACATGATGGGGCCCATTGGAAGCTCAGAGCTATTCTTTCAAACCAAGAGATGCTGGAGGCATTTTGCTTTTACATCATGCAAAAAAAAAAAAAAGCGGGGGGAGAATCTTCTAAAAATATAAATGTCCAGTAGGGCAGGCTGTCTGGGGAATCTATTCATAGGGCATTTGCCTTCTCAGGGATCATATGGGAACCCAAGATCTACACGTTTTGATGTTTAACTAGACAAATTCTGGTCAAAGGAAGAAACTTTGGTCTGCAGGGACAACTCAGAAGCTCAATAATCCCCTCCCCCCAGTTTTAGCCCTTAAACAAAGAAACAAATAAATAAATATGGATATATATTCTTCCATGCATTCTTTTTATCCTATGGCTTTGTCTCTCTTCATATCTCCTCCCATTGTTTCAGAAGAGGATGACAAAGAAAGCTTATGTGTAGAGATTGCCAATGGTCTGGCACCGCCTGGTATGCTGGACAGCCATCTCTCCCTCTCTCTCTCTCTTTCTCTCTCTCATACACACACACATACACTCACATGCGCACACGCACACACACACATATGTTCACAGAGCTCTGCCACTCTGGCAGCATTCACACCCAAGAGAAATACAGATATCTTCCACCTGGGAAACCACCGCTTTGTGCCAAGAATTTCAGAAGCAGATGGGAACACAAACCCTTTCTTTTTATTGGTCCTGCCCCTTTGCAGACGGATATGTAGAAACCAAGCTTTTGAATGTCAATTACTTTAGCAAAATTGGAGAAAAAATAGTCATTTCCTGTCTTCCGTTACTCCCCTCCCTCCCCACTCAAGTAATGCCACATATAAATTGAGGGTGGAGATGGGGGGTAGTGTCAATCTGTTGGGAGTAAAGGGGATAATTGGATTGGTAAATGCTTTGGGATGAATGTAAAAAACCCTTAAGAGTCCTCTTCAGAATAGCCCCATAAGCACACACATCCTTGGCTATCACTTATCACACTTTAACTTGGTCTGCCTTCAAGAAGTAGTACCAGAACTGGCCCCATCATCAGATAGATGAGGTCACCCCCTCAGACAACACACGCTAAGGAGGTGGCCAGCTGCGATGGGAGCCTTCTGTCTGGTCTTCCTGAATATCAAGCTGTTCTTTTTTGCTCATAAATAGAGCCATGGATGCTTTACAATCTCTTCTGAGCCTGCCAAACTACTCTGTTGCAAGTATGGAAATGATACTATCCAATGGCAAATGTTGAAGCAACTCTCAGTTGCCAATCCAGCTGTTCTGTATATGGGATAGGAACATAGTATCCTCTTGTCCTTCATATCACATAGGAAAAATGTTTGGGGAAAGTCCAGAGTAGAATAGATGGCCTCAGTGGTATCTCAGGTAGGTCTGTAGCAGGAAACATTGTGGTGAAGAACTTGAGAGGGCCATTGACCATGTTGACTGGGGAAGATGGGTGGTTTAAACTGAGTTTACACATTGTGCTAATCCAGGGCTGTTTCACCATATTAATAATTAGCCTTTGCCAATTATTCACAATGCATTTTAAACCCAACCTACAGTTTTCACATTGTCCATGCTATTAGACTGTATGGTATCAGACTGTATGGTATGGTATTTATGTATTTATGTATGGAATTTATATGATTACAAGTCTGGAGTTGTAATCCCTATAGCTACATCTATGACTGGGAAGAAGGCCCAAATTTTCCACTGAATGTAGAATCCCCAGAAAGAAAATCCATGAAGAGAGATTACAATACTCCAGGTTGGAATGTGGCTAATTTCTAGAAAGCACAATTTCACCCTGGCAGGTATATGACCAGAGCCCCATTTGCAAGCGGGAGGCCATCTGCAAATAAATACCTACAAGTATTTTTTGTTCTCGTAGACATCATGAAGTTTGAGTACGTGAGGGTGTTCAATCAGCTTCAGAATGGCAATTTCCCGTTCCACCTACAATGGAAGAAAGGGGGGGAGGGGAGTATTTATATGTACAGGGATAAGAAGAATTTTCAGTTCTGTTTGTGTCCTAAGGATGCAGAGCTTGGGGCAGATGGAGACAAGGGTTCCCCCCCTCCCCCAGCTCATATTCATATGACTTACTCCCTACTACATTATTCTGCTCTTTTCTTTATATACCACTTTTTTTTCTTTTCCTGGTTTTACGATAATTCTTTGAACCAAGTCTGGCTTCGGTGTCCTGCCAGGTGAAGCATTCATCAAACTTGTGATACCGCAATACCCTGGTAGGAATAGTTACACATACCTATCACAGAACGTGTCCCCTGAAGCTCATCCTCACATCTCCCTCAGCATGGCACAAACATGGGCCAGGAACTTGTTTCCCCATGTTATGAGGACATGGCCTTCTTCTTACCTACAGCCCACAGCTGAGGCAGCTTGAAGTTGTTCAAGTTTTAAAGTCATGTTTTTTCTCTCTTCTTCACAATACAATTTTTGCAGGTGATATGCTTTTTGCATGCTTCACTGACAGTATGGTTGCTGATGCTGACAGAGGTGGGATTTCCCCAGTTTCTATTGGTCACTTTAGGCTGCTGCACCATGCCCCTTCCTTTGGTCCCTGGAAACTGCCATTCAGGGCCACTGCGTCCTGCTTGGGCTGCAGCAGAGAATAGATCCTGTCCTGTTTGCATAACGCCTGACTGGTGCTTGCCAGGTCCTACATGAGCTCCTTATAAACAGAGTTTAGCACCAGGATTGTGGCAAGGGGCAGCAACCACTTCCTTGGCAAAGAGAACTGGGAAAAGTGGGATGGCAGGTCTGCCAAAGCACCAAGGGAGCAAGAGACCAGAGGAAATCTTGTTCATGATAAGCTTACTGAGCAACAATTGAGGTTTGGAAAACTAGCACTCTTGGTCTGCTTTGCAAAAAAAGGGTTTCCCTTGCATCTCAGGGTCTTCAGGATAGGAAAGAAACGGGAGCAATTTATGCAGGCAAACTGCCTGCTCCCTAGAGAGGTCTTTTGATCAGGCAGGGTTATTGTAGCATGCTGGATCAGGTAGTGGTCTTGAATGCATCATTTAGGATTAAAAATTCATCTGGAAGTCAATCTAAATCCCATCACTGAGAGGGGGAAATGGCTGCTAAATTCCAGTGTAATTAGGAGCAGACTACTATCATTTCCTGTATGAATAGTGAATAGCCATCACAGAATTTACATGTGCAAGACAGGTAATCGTGTCTCATAAATATGATTATAAGAAAGAAGCTTGGTGTTGGGTCATCTAATCTTAGTGTGTGTAACCTGTAAAACCCTACTCAAACGTATGGGGTATTGAGATTCAGCCATGGGCTCCAGAGTAGAGCACCATGCCCAAACAGCACCCTTGGCAAATAAACAAGTCTCCCTTGATGAACAAACAGGGGCAAGAATTTTACGTGCAATAATATCTAATGCTTTTAAGCATGTCTGTAATTTTGCAATAATTCAGAATAGGTAAAAAGGATTTCCTTTCCTTTCCTTTCCTTTCCTTTCCTTTCCTTTCCTTTCCTTTCCTTTCCTTTCCTTTCCTTTCCTTTCCTTTCC